AATAACTACTGTGTTTGTTACTCACGTTTACAAATGCACTGTGAATTAAGGCAAATTGGATCATCGCCTGAGGAACAAGTTACCCTTGCACACTCTGTGTCGTCGTTACAAGTGGATGTCAAAATAATTATTCTTGCTAAGAAAAGATGTTAAAAATTAAGACTGTATTTATGTAAACATGCTGAAACAATAAAATTTAATATACTTTAAAAAATAGGCACAAATTGAAAAAAAAATTATAGGCAAAAAATTTAAGACAGAACTATCTATATGTTTTGTTGACCCTTTTGCTGAACAAGGATTTCTAGTTCTGGATTTTGTACTAAACATTCTGAGAGTTTTTATATATATATAAAAAAAAAACTTTCTGATATTTCTGTTATTCCAAGATAGTACATTCGTCCATTGTACACGGCAAACGGGATTTCAGGTTTATGAAGTTATTCATTTGCATGAATTCAAGTTAATATACGTATCTGGCAATAAATTTTCTTTTACCAAATGAGAGTAGAGTAAATAAAGTATTTAATCAAGGTAATTCCTTTCACCACTCAATATGGCAGTGTAATGACAATATATACAACTCATAAAACAAATGTAAATACAAGAAAATATTAGTACAAATATTTTTTTTATATATATATATTGAATGAGACAAATGAAACTCACGTCTACAAATGCACTGTGCGTTGACGCAACTCGGTCGTTCTCCACAGGAACATAGGGTTGAGGGGCATTGGACGTCATTGCTACAACCATCTGAGAGGAGAAAAGTTTCTAAAAGAAAAGAAATTATTTCAGTATTATATTGAATTACTAGTATGTTACACTTTAACGTTCTTATAGATCTGTAACTACATGTACAGGTAGAGCCCATATTAAAGTAAATATATTTTTAAATCAAAGTCATTTTGATTAATTCCATTATTTTTGATCTTGCTAAAGTTCTTGTTTAAAACTTATGTTGATACAGCAGATAAAAATCTAGAAACAGAAAATGCTCGTTTGAAATTTAAACTTTCTGAAAATTCAATGTACATAATGATAAATGTAATAATTGATGATCACTTTTCGTTGGAAACAGTTTTTTTTTGTTAGAAGCTTTGAAAAATCAACGAACGGTTGTTGTTTTGTTACTTTTTAGATATGCACCGTCTTCATTTAAAAGCAGCATCCTTTCTTGTTTTCAAATATAATATATGTTGAAAAGGAATATAATGAGTTTTACCAAAAGTGCATCGTAGAAACATGAAAAGGATATTCGACGCTCTGTTCAATAGATTTTGTCAAAACCGTAAAAAATGAGTTATAAGAGTAATAATAAAAAGTGAAGGAAGGAATGAGAGGAAATTAAAGACTATAATTTGAAGGCATCAGCTTAAATTCCTCCACTCGGTAACCTCTAGCTGCAGATCTGGTCAAAGACAAATATATATATAAAGCCCTAACGCAACAGATCTGCAGCTAGGTAACCTCATATCCAAACTTCAATACACCTCACTCAATTTTACAAACCTGCAAAGGAAAGCAATAATAGCCATATCCAAATCATTTTATTTAAAACTAATCGGTCTCTCTTATCTTGCGTTATTTACCTCATAGAAATGTCATCTGTACTTTCAATAAACACCTTCCCACTGAAACTGATCTTTAAGATAAAAATCATAAATTAAATATATAATTGCTTTAGAAAGTTGCAAAATATATGCTATTGTATAAAGACAAATTAGATGCTTAAGTCTTTTTTAAATTTTTTTTTATGTTTTAATGCGGAAAGTTTAAAGGAACGTCAAAAATGTTTTCAATGACTTTGCAAATACGAGGGATGATCAAAAAGTTCGCGAACTAATTGAATAACTTCCATAAAAGAAACAATATTTGGTTTCAATATTGACTATATTTTAAATCAATCCTCTCCGATTTTAATGCACATCAACCACCGTTCTACGCGTGCGCGAATCAGTGATATTGGCGGTCACGTGACCCCCTCCGTAGCGTTCTGTCACAAAAGTTGAAAGATTTTTCTGAGTTTTATATTTCTTTCCATGTGAGTTAATTTTTATGACAAGAACAGTTAATTTGTCAGAAATTGTCAAATCTCGGCAACAGAATGGGTGGATAAGAATATCCTTTCCAAAATTAAACATGGCGACCATTAAAAAACAAATCTTCTATCTCGGGAGAGACCTCTATTCAAGGTGGATCATAGAATTAATCATGCAGTTTATCATATCTAATATGTTTAAAATCTAAAGTAAACGATATCTTAGGTATTTAATAAACATATTATTATTCAAATATTCAACTATTTTTCAAAGTGTAAATTGGAGGTCTTTGATGGCAAATTGCTTAATTAAAACACATATCTTTTCAAACTTGCTTTCACTGGGCAAGATTACAAGTATCATTTTTAACCATCTGCCTTTCACTAAAACGATCAATCCAATTATTGATTGAATTTATAGGAACCCATTTATCTTAATAAACTGTGTACAAATTATTATATGATACTGCCGAGGGATTTTTAAGATATACAATAAATTGCGCAGTCGTTTGTTGAACGAGTTCGGCTGAGACAACCATTTTTCGTCAGAAGTGACCTACATAGTGACGTCACAAACAAGGAGAAAAATTATATTCAGCATAGGCTATTTATAGACCTTGTGTATGGCTATGTGTGTACCGAATTTCATTCTAATCTGATTTGTGGTTTTGTAGATATAGAGATAGTTCGCGAACTTTTTGATCACCCCTCGTAGCTTTTAATTATGATTTCTTATTACGAGCCGTAAAGGCTATTTTGATGCATGCATAATATTTTACAGATAAACGATTCATTTTAACACATATTCATCAATGTAAACTGTAAATGAATATTTGTTGTCAACCTTTATCAAAATCCAGATTATAGTAACATGTTATCTTAGTTCCCGGAAGGTACTATTAGAAGACTGGATTTGGATACTGTTCCAGTGAACTGTAGATGCACTTCTGCCTTGTGGTTCAAATACAGGCCAGGGAAAAATGTATCGCCCATATATCATAGAATTAATCATGCAGTACAAAAACATCCGATTGAAAACTTAATGCTTGAGTTAAATCTTCATTTAGATTTGGACTATGATTTTTCATCAAGAAATATGAAAAATATCAATTTACAATATTTTAATACCTTTGTGATTAAAGTCTCTTTCAATTATATGGTCAATTCATTATGAAAATAATTGCTAAACAATCTGTATGAAAGTCGTAAGTCAATCTTCGTCCGAACGACAGATTGAATTTGTAGACTACGTCATGTAATATTGACTATAAACTTTGACGTATGAGTATGGCAAGCCCTTTTACTATTTATTTGTAAAATATTTTTTTCTTTCAATATGTAAGAAATCTCTCTATCATAGTGTTTCACAAACACATCTTGTTAGACAGACTTTAGCTTTTTGTCCTGATTTTTATGCCCCCGGATCAAAAATTCTGGGAGTATATTGTTTTTGTCCTGTTTGTCTGTTGCTAAATAGTAAAAAGATTGTGTAAATACCTCTGCCTTTGAAACATTTTAATTTAGACTATGTCTTGGTTTTACAACAATGAATAATGTTCGAAAAAATACATGTAACTGAAGGTGTTTAACGTCTAGAATATACAATGATGTCTTCTGGTGTCATTTGAATGGAAAAAAATTAAATTATTTTGCTAATTTCTTAAAATGAGTTAAAGGTTTTTAAATCTAGTATAATTTGATAATGTATAGTCCCTGTGTGACATTTATATGTTGTTATGTTGTTAAGTTCTTAACAACCCTTTATAATTTGTCAATCGCCATATTTTACGTGTTTTATATTGACTTGGAATATATGCATTATACTTGCATAAATGAGTTGGAATTGATATATAAACAAATAGTTTTAATGATATATAACACTCATCATTTCACTATATTTTTCTTTTACATACAGAATAAATTGTCACTTTCTATGATCCTTGTGTTATGAACTTATTTGCACGACTCTCAGACATATTGCAGGTAAGTCGTACCTAATTTATGTATTATTGATACCAAGATAAGTATAAAGATCCAGAGATGGATAAAAAGTCAACTACTATATGATAGCTCATCAATTTCTGATTTAAGTTGAATCACATTTATATACATATTAAAACCTGAATATAGCTGTTATCTTTCACTGTAAATTGACCTTGTCTTACTTGTCTTAAATTTGTTCTCTGTCCACAAATGTGTACTTAAATGTTTCTAAATTTGGTCAAATACATGTTCCACAAATTTTGTTTCTATATATAAAGTATGATACACTTCGCTATAGCACTGACTAGACAGTGCCTACAAGTAGTACGAATAAATGTACATGGAAGGCAATGAAATATGGAGATAACAAAGACTATTCAAGCTCAAAAGTACTCTTAAACAATAGAAAACATGAACACAGCAAATACACACCTCTAAAGCATCAGAAGTTTGATCAGGTGCCATGGAGGAATGAACATCCCCCTTGTCATAATCAGAAAAAACGGAAAGTTATTTGCCTTTTTAAATATTATCATACGTATTTAATATACTGATAATTTATAAGTCGAGTGTGAAGTGCATGCATTAAAATGATTGATGTTCAGACATTTAAAGAAATATTTGTCTTGTGCAAAGGACTTCAAATCCGTCTTTCATAGATGGTCCTCTCTGAATTTTCCAAAGCTGGAAGCTGGTATCAACTTCTTCGCTCTTATTTATGTAAGGTTAACTTATTGGATTGTGATAAAGATTTTGAGTTCCAGAAATGCTTAATGATGTTTATTTGATGATACAAAAGCGGCAATCTTGTGAATACAGCAAAACTATTATTGCAATTTACGGATATAGAGAAGTATAACATATAAATTAATAATTTTTTTATACTTATAACGAATTACGTATAACGAACTACCCCGGTAGATAAATGTATAAAAGGTTAAGATTCTCATTAAGTGAACTACTTAAATTACAAGTTAAAATAATTTACTGGTTGTTTTATTTGCCATCCATATGTTTCAAGTTTTAAAAAATATAGTTTCAACAGGAACATCGCCGTCTTCTATTTAGCCAAACTCCCACATTTGAAATTTACGTACCTAGAGAGAAAGAGATAGTTTGAAAGTTTAAAATTTTCTCTTTCCAAAGATTTTGTAGTGAAATTTAAGGAAAAAAAATCTTTTTGCTTAACGAATGTAACATTTTTTCCTTTAGAAATGTTATGCATTTTTTTTTTTTTCAAACAGAAAGCTTTCTATTAAAAGCGATTGGAGACTTCAATGCTTACTTGGACAATAATCAGGATTGCAGACGTTTGCTTCAAATAAATGACCATCACAGTCTTTGCCGCCATGTTGAGGAGCGATGCATGTCCGCGATCTCACCTGGGTTCCGCCCCCACAGGAGGCGGTACAGAGAGTCCAGCTCCCCCAGGGGGTCAAAGTCCCATCCACTAAAATTCATTTTGCAATTATACAAAAGTTTCAACATAAAATGTTTCAATTTAAAAGAAAGAAATGTCTTGAAAAATTTTACATTCCTCTTAGGAACCTGATTCCACCCTCTGTTTCTCTAGCTTCCGAAGTTTTGCTCACGATTTGTGTTGTTTTTATTGATAAGATTGGCCACTTTTCGATATCTTCATGCTTTTTCATAATATCGACATTTCTATCGCAATTATTAAAAATGTTCACTTTGTGGTCTTTTTATTTTATTTAAGGAATGAAGAATATTTCAACTTATGTTATCCGATGTAACATAACTTGGGGCAGATTACGCTTGATAAACGGCGAAGCGGTTTATAAACAAGCGTATGATAACATACATGTAAGCTGAAATAAGCTTCATTTCTTATAATTTAATTTCATTGTAGACAATGAGACAATTTTTCCTCCAGGAAAAGGCTTCAAATTCAGCAAATTTAAAAGTAACGTCAAGCAGAGTGATACATTTTTGACGTAACTCATTGTGACGTAGGCAAGTTAAGTTATACGAAATGGATAAAATCTTTTTCCCAATCAAATGACGTTTTACAATTAAAATTAAATCATACTTTTTTATCTTTCATTCTTACTGTTAAGCACCATGAAAATGTACCAGAAATTAAACACCTGGACAGTGAAGTGCTCCACAGGGCTGGATTTGTGTTGTTTCCCCAGTACAAGTAACACCAGCTTGACAGCTTCGAATTCTGATTCTCAAACCCTGGCATGTAGCAGTACATGGTCCCCAAGCTTGCCATTCATTGAAATTTACATCAACTGAAGATAAATTAAGTGAACCAGTTCGCATTTATTGATGAATATCAGGGAAACATTCAAAACACTAGAATAATAATGTTTTTTCCAGAATCATTCATTTTGCATAATTTGTACTCTATTTAAAACTTGTCGAAAATTTAATGTCAAAAGGGCATCAATTTTCTATGTTTTATTGCATGGCATAATAGCCATCGCTTTTATTATCTTGGCAATGCGGTGGATCGCTTTCAAAGTAGAACGTTTAGGGGAGTGATCTATCGGTCAAACCTAGTTTAAAATTCGACCAAAGTATCAATCTTTTTCTTTTAGGTATGGCGCTAAAGGTGAAGTTATGCAACATACCATATAGTCCATTTATGCATGGATTTTTCCTCCTTGCATTGACTTGCAAAGTGTATTACCTCAAGCGTTATCCTTTTTTTCTTTTTTGGTTCGCCCGTTTTCTGTCAATCAACCATTTTTTTTTACAGTTGTTCTTTGAAAAATGCTGTATTTTTCATGTTCTTTAAAATTTCAAAAGATGTTTAAGTTTATATCAACTCATGTACGCAAAACAACAGATAAGTGTATATCTTAAAAGAAAGAAGAAAACATGAGTCGCCCGCGTGGAGCAGTGGTTAGAACGTTTGAGCATGAGTCGTGGATTAAAGACTTTAATTTTACGTTCGAATCCCACTGCAGGACGTGTAAGCCAATTGAAGGTCAGAGTAAGTGCTGATGCAAAAAAGGTCCCTCAATAGCCCTTTGTGCTCCCAGAATTTGCAGCCCTCATAGTGGTGAGGTCTCAAATATTTCAAAGGGGCGTTGAAAAAAAATCCAAATAAACATGGAAAACAATAGGTCATTGATATCCGGCAGTGAGTCATATTTCATCTATTTAAGCAAACCGTTTATTGATGCTGTAGTTGTTGTCGTAGTTGTTGTCGTTGGTTTCGGTGTACTAGTTGTTGTCGTCGGCTTAGTTGTCGTCGTTGGTTTTGGTGTAGTTGTTGTTGTTGTTGTTGTTGGCATTGGAGTTGTTGTATCTTAAATATTATAGACCAAATTAGTATCTTTAATATCTATATCATCTTTAATAAAGTATAGACTTTACAGCGATTTAAGCATATATACCTATTCTCAGTTTACAACTGCTAATTGTCCTCTCAAAAATACTTAAAGTAAAAGATCATTCTCCTTCTTTACCAAAAGATTAATTACACTTAACAAAGCTGAAATATGATTTATATAAATCTTGTTAGGGTGGGTTTTTCCCTGTCCCGATAAATAAAATGAAAATATGAAAATATACAAAAAGTGCGTTTTCATTTTCTTAGCTGTTTTGCATATTCCTACAAAACTCATATAGGATCATTTTTTGCAAATACTCACCGACACAGTAACACTTTGATTCGTGACATAACGGTGATTGGGGTGAAGAGCAGTGTTCTGTTCTACAATCGTGGTCTGAGTGACATGATGAGGGATTGCCTGTCCAATTATATGTTAAAGGATATATATAGATACCGGGTTTATTCTTTGAATATCTGCATAAAAAATTGCATTTATTTCACGAAGAGGTAATATATTATCTAAAGTGGCTTTATCTATTATATTTCTCAAAATAAAAATAAATTTTTAAAAAAAATTAATTTTTCTCATGTACAGGATCAGCAGTGTGGGCAGTACGGGGAAACGTGTTCCAAAGGAGAAAATTCACGAAAATCTTGTTTTACACAACGTTAATTACTTTTTGTTTGCAATTAAAGTTACTTATCCACTCTAATGCAACGTTTGAACAAAATTTTTCAAATGGTTGAACTCATTTAAATCGACTGTCTATATATCAAAAAATATTTTTTATTCATTATTCGACTGACATGCAGTCAAATCTTGTTATTTTGAACTCGATGGGACCACAGAAAAAATTGAAATATCCTCAGTAAGCAAGCAAAAAGTAATTCGGACTTTTAATTTTCCAAATGACCCCTATATATCCATGTTATCCCAGATATCGATGTTTGAGATATCAAAGATAAACTGTAGTTATATAAAAGAAATCAGAATAACCGCAGACCTTACGCAGACCCTTTGCTTTAGGTCTATGAAATAACTTACGTGTACAAGCGCAAACAGATGCTAAGCATACTGTAGAGTATGGGGAGGTACACATGTCGGTGGCGCACGTCTCATGATGATGTCCATGACGTCGATATCTTGCTTGACATGAAGAATGGGGATATTCCACGTCTGAATTGTAAAGTGAGATTTAAGGAAGCTGTAAACACTAACAAAAAGTGCTTTTTGGACTTGGAGAAAATATATCATATAAAGGTGTGGATATTTAGACTATTCAATCAATTTCAAAATAGTGTACCTGCCTTACTTCTGCAGGAAAATGCTCAAACACAGGGGATTTTGCATTAACAGAAACACTGTTGTTTACTTACTTTGGGAAAATAATGAAAAGAATGAATTCAATTGCTTATTCTTGGTCTAATGTAATGCTTAGCATACTAAAGTCTATAACAAATTGTGTAATTAATTGTAAATAACCATTTTTTCTATCTCACTTCTAAGGGCAGATCACTATACCAGCATAGAAATACCCTACAATTAGAACTCTTTAGTGTGCAGTGTTTAGAGCTTCCTTAAAAACGATAATATTTGAAGAAATAAATCTGGCAGTTCCTATAAAAAAAATTAAACGTTTCTTGCAGAAATATCCAAAAATAGGAAAAATGACAATAAGGTCATAATTTTCCTGTATTATGCATCTTTTTAATCTCGGACAAAAACGTTATCAATACATGTATATGAAATTAAATATTATATGATATAATGGAAAATTAAGTTGAACAGAGTCCTTGTTTCCTGCAAATATGTAAAGAACACAAAATTATTTTACAGTTACAGAAAAAACGTTCAAAGCGTAAGAACATGAATATTAGCTGGATGCTGAAGATACAAATAAAATCTTACCAGACAAACAGATACACTTCCCACTATGGCATATTTTAGGTTTGTGGTGGTCGTGCCCACAATGTGTATCACTGCAGCTTGCATCGCTGCTACAACTAACATGGTCATGTGGTTCATCTAAATAGAGTTTATTTATCTTGTTCAAAACAAAATCACTTCATCAGAATTGTAAGAAAGGGTACATTACTACAATTAAAAGCAATGGTTACAGATATGAACGAATCCAAGTTGATGGACTTTTCAAGTCGGACTACTCCACTTATGCTTTGGAAAATGTTTACGTACTTACGTGGACATCCACATTTGTTGTTGGCAGCATGACATACTTGAGGTTTTTCTGATCCACAAACTCCTATATTACAGTCAGAATCTCTAGTACAGTACCCGATTCTTTCTTGAAGAAAGCATTAAAAAATTAAATTAGTCTACGCTTTGTATACTTGAGGTTATGCAATTTTTAAGTTGCTGCTCTGATTAGTCAAGAGACATCATTTTAAAAGTTTCAAAATAGATTCCTTTGGCATTATCAATATATGAAGAATTGAAAGTTATAGCAAAGGTAGAAAAAGTTCTGTCTAAATAATGGAAAACGTATTTATATATATTAATTTTATCGTACTTTTACCATATACATAAAACGTTCTTTCGCAGAGGTTATATGATAAAAAAAAATCTAACTCTCCGAAAGGGATATTTGATGGATAAATGCTATTATCTTAGAGCAATCAGTAAATTCAAATATTGAAGTATATTATCACCAAATCATTCTATCAACTCACTTTCACAAATACAGTTGCTATTAACACAGCGATGGTGTTCGACTTCGGAACATGGGATATTTGAACAGTCGGAGTCATGGCTACAACCAGACGAAAATAGAAATGCCTCCACTGAAAAAAGAAGTTTAAATATAAGGGGAAAATGTCCATTTTACTAATTATTTTGTATTTAATTGATTAATATTTTCAATGTCTTACAAAATGGGCGTGTTATTTATGGTCAAAGAATCAGAGAGAGAGAGAGAGAGAGAGAGAGAGAGAGAGAGCGAGAGAGAGAGAGAGAGAGAGAGAAGCAGCTCTAAATTTAAATGTGAAAATATGGTAGTCATGTTCAGATATTTAGATTATCAATTATACGCTAGTTCAGAGCTAACAATGGCCTCTGTGATCAGATGCAATGGATAAGTGAGCATCCCCTGAAAATCGGTACCCACCCTTTGTAAGTCTGTTGTCTTGATCAGGTAAACTGAAGAATATGAAAATTCAATTCTAATAATATGTATTTTAAAAATCAGTCATTATTCGGGCTAATAACAGACTGTATTTGCAACCATTTTCGACCAAAAAAGTTACGTTATGTTGTTGAGTTTTAATGAGATTGTTGAAAACTTATACTTTCAATCTGTTATGCCCATGTAATTGTTTTTTGTTTTTTGTTTCTTTTTGCTCTGTCCTTCTGTCTGTCCGTTTGTCAACAAAGAACTTTATCCTTGTCCATGCATTTTATTTCACATGTTGAAATCTTGTGACAGGATCTTTCCTGAGGCACCATCTTATATGATCTCTTTACCTTGGAGTCTAATTCGATTTTTTCCAATTTCGCAAAACTTTAAACTAGGCCACAATTTTTGAACAAAAAGGGCTATGGCTTTCTTACTTAATCTGTGTGTTCATTTTGATAAGGCCTTTTTGGGGTACCAAGATTTCTTACTATTTATTTTTACCCGTATATTTGCCATCTTATTAAAAATTCTAACTTTAACCATAGCTTTTGAATGGTTGGTTCATGGCTGTCACAGATGTACTCTTTGTAACAAAAACTTTCTATGAGGGACAATTTTGACTCAATTTCAACTGCTTTTTTAAAAACCAATTTTAATGGGTTTTTTTTCATTCCTACTTAAGGCAATTCAAATGATCAGCAAAAATTTGAACATAATTTGATGATTTACAAAGGAGATACAGAATTTCAAATTCTTCATCATGTAAACAAGGCTCATGTCTTGTTTTTGGTTACATATAGAAAATATCAAAACACAGGATTCAGCAAATCTCTAGAAACTTTCTAATCGTTTTTAGAATTAACTTCTTTACTGAAAGTCGCCCGCGTAACACAAAGGTTAGAGCATCTACTCTAGAGTCGCGAAGTAAGGAGTCAATCCTTACGTCGCGGTTTCGAGACGATGCGTTGTGATGATCATTAAAAATACCTTAGTTATGTATTCTCGTAAACATAAAAATAATGGGTTAATAAATTTGAAAAATTTAGCTGAAACTGTGTCCATTGCTCTTTAACATTGGCCAAAATCTTTTAAATAGTTAATGCTAAAACTCTTGGGTTTAAACAGGTTTGGTCCCAATTCTTTAAGGCTCTTGGATTAAAACAGTTTTGGTCCCATTTATGTTAAACACCTATTCCTTGCGACAAGACTTTTCTAATGGTACCATTTTTTATCTCTTGACCTTTGACTTTACTTGAACACCGTATGCAAAAGTGTTTCAATATTGAGTACATGTACTTGTCTAACTATTTTTGTATTATCACATTCATGGTCACATTATGTTTCTTATTTATTAATAATATTATTCTTACTGTTCTTTAGTTTTTGTCATGAATTTTGTCTATTTGAATTTTTCTGTAATTTTATGCACAAATGTTACATTTAAGCAGTGGAAATGTATAACTTATTGCAAAATACCTATATTTTCTTCTTTCTTATTTTCCTTAGAAAAGTCGTACATGCACTATAAAAGTTACATGTATAGAAGGCGATGTGCTATTATCTCTATCATTTCACAGTGTCTGACGCATATATTTCATATTTGGGTACTTTACTTGCAAAAGACGTCAATGGTAATCTAACAATCAAGCTTTATCATAAACGTGATGACTTTACTTTTCAATTGTCAACTTTCCTTACTTAAGCAGTAATATACCTTCATCATCTGCATACGGGGTTTATATCTCTCAATTGATTCGATACATACGCAAGAGCATGCTCTACGTATGCACAATTCTTAAAGCGAGGTAAATTATTGACAAACAATTTGATGAAACAAGAATATCAGCAGTCTTGTTTTAAGTCATCATTTCATAAGTCTTATGGTTTTTCTTACTTATTGTAAGGCCATTATTTAAACAATGAATTGCCGATGGATTTTCCGTTATTTCCCGATCATGACAATGAGCATGCAGAAGGGGATGCTACCCCTCCATATCACCTGATCCCACCTCTGATGTTTTGGAGGTCCGTGTTTGCTCTGCTCCTATTTTGTGTTGTTTAAGGGACTTTTAAGCTTGAATTTTGTTCGTTATCTCCATATATTTCATGTACAGTACTAGTATGTATATTGTGAACCCCTAATTCCAGACTATAAACATTAGAGTGAATTGCGAAGAACTGTTTCCAAGTAATTTTGATCAAAAGGGATTTAGGGCAAAAACACAAAATTTGCATATTACCTGCAACTGGAAGAAAAAGAATCCCTATCCAAAACATTTTACGTATGTTAAAAATCATAATGGCGGTCGTAATTCCTTTTATCAATTTCAGGCGAGAAAGGTCATTTTCAATGTCACAGGATTGCTCTTTGATAAGGTATAGCAAATTTTCGCGAACAAGTCATATTTTTTAAAGCATGATTTTTTGTTTTTTGATATATCTATTACGTGATGAAAACCTTTTTTTTCATTTGAGGAACAGAGATATATAATTCTATTTTTTCTGTCGTTTTCGACTGTCAATAACTTTGCTGTTATCCTCACGTTATTATCACGTGTGTCTACAACAGAAATGATTTATATTCAAATTGTACAACATTTTTGGATAACGATTTATGTGTATCAGGCAAAAAAGCTGGAGTTCATTAAGTCCATTTTTGGGTTCTACACAGAAAAATGAAACTTATCATTAATTAAGCTTTTCACCCCTTTTAATGACTTTTTAAAGATTATGACATGACATCCAGTTTTTTGAAATTTTTTGATATACTGTATGTAGATTGTATTTGCTGATAAGGTCATTGCATCGAACTTAAAAAAAAATTACTTACGAATGAGAATATTCATATTTTTATTCATGAAATTGTCATTTGATAGCTTAATTGCCTTGTTTTTTAAACATGATACATGTAGTACTTAGAGCATGATCTTTCGTATCGATTCAATTGAAAGACGTTAACCCCCAAATACAGGTGATAAGAGTATATTGCTTCATAAGTAAGGAAAGTTAACGAAAGAAGAATTGAAGTATATAATCACGTTTATCATAAAGTTTTGCTATTAAGTTACTATTATAGTATTTTCCTAGTGAAATATCCAAATGAAACATATCTGTCAGACGTTATTTTGATTAAAAAAGTAACTTTTGTTAATCTATAATAAGTCTGCCATATATCTACAGGTGAATGTCTGGTAGGCCACAGTAAGTATTTTCTTCTTCGCCTATATTATTTTTAAAATAAATCTCGCTTGATATGAATACGAAAATCCCTTATGTAATAATGAATATGACTGTACTAGCATTACACAGTATTACTTACAGTGATATACATTTAGAAAAGAGTTTTTTTTCTAATCAAGGAGTAAGGCATGGTTATGGTATATCTTGGAATATTTAACAACGGTTTAACATTTCCTCTCCATTAAATAATTTACGAAGAGGGAATGTCATTTCAGATCAGTCTAAATTGGTCCCTCTTTAAAAGTCAAATAAACAAATAAAAGTGCTGTAAGGAGGTAATTTTGTGTTATTTATTTAAAGGAAACCTTAGAAACAAAATTACAATAATATCATCCTACATTTAAAATATAAAAAAAACTAATTTTCTAACCATTAACTACATCTTTAAAGAAAAAATTCCACCGACTAATTTTAATTTTATTGTATTATCCTAAATATTATAACAGAACTTTACTTTTCATGGAGATTTCCACAATCCAAAAATGACCATGACGACAAAGTCCTTGTAATATATTTAGTTAATATTAATAAAATTTGTGAAAAAAGTTATCTTTCTTTGTTTGATCAGGCATGTCTACATGTACTAGTAGTGTGAAAATATATTTTCAGAATTTTGTAGACTATGGTATTTGACCTGACTTTATACATGTATATCGAATACTTCGTGATAAATATCACTACACAAATGCACTGTAATGACCACCTCTAGCACGTGGCCTTGTCCGTAAAGTGTTTCATTGGTGGTAACAAGTCCATTTGTTTCATGAAGGTTTATTCAACAATAATTTTTTTTTTCAATTAAACTTAACAAGCCGTTTTACATGTTAATAAAATGAGTGAAGATAAATTTTACTTTTTGTGAGTGGGTCTTAAAGGTAAAAATGATGTTATTTACTAAAAACTATATTTTAAATAATTTTTATATACCAAGGACTATTAGATTGCCGTTTCATAAAGACTATTTTATTAAGATTAGAGAGATTAAAGTTAAAGTCAAGATTGACTATTCTAGTAAATGCTAAGCAGCTTTGAAGAATATAATTGTGTAGATATCGAAATATTTGAACAAAAATTGACGCAATCATTTCATTATGAAATTAAGTTCCATTTCATTTTATGGCATATTTGAAAATCTCGAGACGAAAAAATAGATAGAGTTTATAAAGAAGAATGCAAGCATTTGCTGTGTTGTTAAAAAGTTACCATCTGCAAGAAATATCATTATTTAAGAAGGGATTCTTGTCTGGTTTCTGACTTTTTCTGGAGATTTCCAAAATCCAAAAATGACCATGACGACAAAGTCCTTGTAATATATTTAGTTAATATTAATAAAATTTGTGAAAAAAGTTATCTTTCTTTGTTTGATCTGGCATGTCTACATGTACTAGTAGTGTGAAAATATATTTTCAGAATTCTGTAGACTATGGTATTTGACCTGACTTTACACATGTATATCGAATACTTCGTGATAAATATCCCCAAAAGAATGTACTGTAATGACCACCTCTAGCACGTGGCCTTGTCCATAAAGTGTTTCATTGGTGGTAACAAGTCCATTTATTTCATGAAGGTTTATTCAACAATAAAAATTTTTCAGTTAAAATTAACAAGCCGTTTTACATGTTAATTAAATGAATGAAGATAAATTTTACTTTTTGTGAGTGGGTCTTAATGATGTTATTTAATAAAAACTATATTTTAAATATTTTTTATATACCAAGGACTTAGATTGCCGTTTCATAAAGATTATTTTATTAAGATTAGAAAAATTAAAGTTAAAGTCAAGATTGACTATTTTAGTAAATGCTAAGCAGCTTTGAAGAATATAATTGTGTAGATATGAAAATATTAGAATAAAATTGACGCAATCATTTCATTATGAAATTAAGTTCCATTTCATTTTAAGACGAAAAAATAGATAGAGTTTATAAAGAAGAATGCAAGCATTTGACTTGGTGTTAAAAAATTAACATTCTGCAAGAAATGTTATTATTTAAGAAGGGATTCTTGTCTGGTTTCTGACTTTTCCTGGAGATTTCCAAAATCCAAAAATGACCATGACGACAAAGTCCTTGTAATTATCAATAAAATTTGTGAAAAAGTTATCTTTCTTTGTTTTATCAGGCTTGTCTACATGTACTAGTAGTGTGAAAATATATTTTCAGAATTCTGTAGACTATGGTATTTGACCTGACTTTATACATGTATATCGAATACTTCGTGATAAATATCCCCACAAGAATGTACTGTAATGACCACCTCTAGAACGTGGCCTTGTCCATAAAGTGTTTCATTGGTGGTAACAAGTCCATTTGTTTCATGAAGGTTTATTCAACAATAAAAATTTTTCAGTTAAAATTAACAAGCCGTTTTACATGTTAATTAAATGAATGAAGATACATTTTACTTTTTGTGAGTGGGTCTTAATGATGTTATTTACTAAAAACTATATTTTAAATAATTTTTATATACCAAGGACTTAGATTGCCCTGTCATAAAGATTATTTTATTAAGATTAGAGAAATTAAAGTAAAAGTCAAGATTGACTATTCTAGTAAATGCTAAGCAGCTTTGAAGAATATAATTGTGTAGATATAAAAATATTTTTTTAAAAATTGACGCAATCATTTATTATGAAATTAAGTTCCATTTCATTTTATTTGAAAATCTCAAGACGAAAAAATAGAGAGAGTTTATAAAGAAGAATGCAAGCATTTGACTTGTTAAAAAATTAACATTCTGCAAGAAATATATATTAAGAAGGGATTCTTGTCTAGTTCTGATTAAATAAAATATTCAGCGTAGATTTTCTTATATTCCTTTAAATATTCAGATGATATGGATTTATAAGCTCATCGTTTTCTTTCCTTCTCATAATTGTACAACTTTAAATAAAAATAGTGATCAATTTTAAACAATCAAAAGCACAAAATATTTTAGATAGGCCTATCTGCGATTAGAATTATTGATTTTATTTTTAAAGAAATATATCTTATAAATATGATTTTACAAACGTTTAACATAAACAAATTGAACAAAAATCAGCAAAAGGTGCATGTGTTTCTTTTATTTTCAAACTCATTTTGGTAGTATCATAATTAGTATCGTTTGCTAAAAGTCATGTGATATCAACCTTTTAGGCAAAAAAAAAATCTCTTGAAATAGAAATAGGAATAACATGATTGGTACAGTAGTTTGTGATTCCTAATGTCTCAGGAAACGGTAACAGCCTTGGCCTTACAATGCTCCTAAAATAAAACGGTTTGTTTTCATCTAATTGATGCCATCACTTACTTAATTGATGCATAAAATATATAGAGAGAACGAACAGTATTTAAACTCAAAAGTCCATTCAGACAATACAACTCGGTACCAGAACAAATACGTACTACTTAAACATCCGAGTTGGGATAAGATGCCATAGAGTCGAAAGCTTCCCCTGCAAAATGGTTATTCCCTGGTTATATCCAAAATAGTTATTCTCCTTATCATGATCGGGAAATTATGAAATAATTCGTACAAAATTCATTGTGTTAATTTTGGCAGAAGAACTAGTATGAAAAAATTATCATTTGATTCAATTATAGATTGTATTTGCTGACACGGCCATTGTATCGAGCATAAAATTTGCAAAATATTTCTTAAACGATACTGTGATATTTTTTCTTCATTTATTGGTTTGTCAATAAATTACCTCGTTTAAAAAATTGTTTGTACGTAGTGCATGCTCATGCAGATCGAATTAACTGAGAGATATAAACCCCATATGCAGGCCAAAAGGGTATATTGCTGCATAAAGAAGGGGAGTTGACAATGACAAAGTTGAAGTCGTCACGAAAAAAAGGAAAACTCGGATGAATTGTGTTTCTATATATATATATATATATATATATATATATATATATATTCAAAAAATTATTTTTCCTTGGTATAGGGATAAAATAAAATCCAAATTCAAATGATAAACTCAAACTTTTATCTAAAGCGCTTTCGCCCCCTTTATGCGGGCTCATCAGTAGATTTGAAAGTTAATTTCAAATCTACTGATGAGCCCGCATGGGGCGAAAGCGCTTTAGATAAAAGT